TAAAACAACATGTTGTAGTGTGCTGGGTGCCAGGGCACCGTGAGATCCAAGGCAATGTGAGGGCGGATCAGCTTGCTGCATCCGTCCACAAAAGCACTGGCCCTACACCCATAATAATCCCGGCCCTTGATCTTGAGCCGTCTCTCAAACGAAACATCAGAGACTACTGGCAGAGCAAGTGGGATACACACACACAAAACAAACTACACATTATTAAGCCACACCTTGGTCATTGGCTGCCAGTATCAAAATCGCGTCATACAGAGGTTATACTAACGAGACTCAGGATAGGACACATATACACGACACACACTTATCTTTTGTCTGGTGGCGATCCACCATTGTGTGACAGATGTGGTGAACCATTAACCGTCCTTCACGTGTTAATCCAGTGTAAACACTTAGAAACTATAAGAAAACAGCATTTTCCATTACCCTACCGACAACATATACCTTTACACCCTGCAATGTTTGTTGGTAGGGAACCGCTTTTTACTCATAAATTATTGTTAGCGTTTTTAAAAGAAATTCGTAATTTTCATATCATATACCCGGGCATCCCGTAGCACGACCTCTCCAGGGACGTTTTTGCTGCGGTGGCTACACAGAAAAGCACTTGCCTCACGGCCCTTGCACGCAAGGGTATGAACCAGTGAGGCACTTGTGCTAATGCCATACATATACACCATCGTTTTTATTATCGCCATCTTTTGTTATCTATTCACACCACACACACCTTTCACGGCATGGTCATGATTTTATTACTTGTATGTTTTTACCCGCCTTACCGCGAGGAATTTTATGGCCCTTATAGAGCCGCTAATCACAATCATTGTCCACATTCCTTGTCGCATGAACTGGCGCTCTTTGGCCATCAAATGGCCCTTGCGCCAAAAAACACCATATATCATCATCATGTTCCTACGTTATAACACCGTCCTTCCCTCCAGCACATGCATTGAAGGGCACCTAAACCACCCAATCGTTGAAATTCAGTCATGGTGGAAAAATTGTGCACAGTGTAGAAAAAACTTGGAGCTGCGAGATTTTTTTTTTAGTGGTGTCATTAAAGCAGAGTTAGATGTGCTTGGTTATTGAAATCGCGGCGATCACTCCTTTCATTTTTTTCTGTGCTACCCTCCATGGTATCCTCTACTAAAACTGCTTTGCCCCCTTTTCGAGTGCCCTTTCTAATATCGCATGGCATACGTCATTGCTGAGGCACTGCTTGAAACACTGCCCACTTCCGGTTACCGTGACTCTGTCCCTCCGCCTGCCGCGTTTTTGTTGGCAAACTGTGGCTGCCGTGCCAGCCTGTGCTTATACGAATCATGTTGGCATGGACCCGTTGCTACGCGCGCACTTTCCGAAGGATCACCATCGTGGTGGATCTTTCGGTGACGTGCCGTGCAAGAGCACTTCGGTACGAGATGAGGACCCGCCTCCACCACGTTCCCCAGATCGTGGCGTTGATATGGGTTGGTAGGTGCACGTTCTGCAATGCTTTCCCCCTTATTGTTACCCGTTCAGCGCTAATGGCATTATCAATGCAATGGATGAAGAAAAGCCATCGCAAAACAATCGGATTTAGTTCGCGCAGTTGCGTTACAGGGCGCGATAGCCGATTCGGGAGCGGCCGCACGCATGCGGGCAACACAATGAACTAAATAAGCAGTGGGGACACCTGCTTGGAGTCTAACCAGAAGTTATAGGCTCGACCAATCAAAGCATGTTTGTACTGCACGTCACGTGGGGGCCCAAAAAGCCTAGATAGGAGGAGGGAGTGATTTTTGGAATTTTCGATGCACCAGCGGCTCGTAGCGTTGCCATGTGTAGATATCATTGATCGCACCAGCATTATGGGCACGATGTGCGTGTTTACTTGAAAAAATATTGTGGTGGTTCAGGAGCCTTTTTAGGGAGTGTTCACATAGCAGCTGACCTTTTAATGAAGAAAAATGAATTGGTCACAAAAGCATTCAAAACATTGGCTGTGATATACCGTATTTACTCTATTGTACCGCGCCCTCGTTTGTAACACGCAACCGGTTTCCACGACGAAAAAGAAAAGTAAGACATCGATTGCAACGCGCACCCATTTTTCTCGTTGGCCCGCACGATCACACCACTCAGTAAAACAACTCCTTTCGGGAGCGCCTTCCGTTTAAACATGAGGTACGAGGGAAAGCTTGTGCCTATCTGACGTGCAATGGAGCATTGCCGTCACTCTAGTTTTACCGTGGCCCGATGTCAGCACGCGAACTTGCTTCGCCCCCTTCTTCTCGACGGTTGTGGTGCCAGGCATGTCGAAGTAAAGAGGCGTCTGATGGGCATTCCCGATTTGCCCAAGCAGGTAGCCGTTGTTGTGCGCAAGTTTAGGATGAACCTGTGAATACTGTGTAGCTTTTCATCGTACTCCTCCGGAAACTTTTCGCATATGCCCGTTCGCCTTTCGGAGGGAAAAAGCCTTTCCTCTTCATAAAGTTAGTTATTCAGCACCTGCTCGCTTTAAACTGGCTCCGCATTAGCCCTTTTTCTAAGGCTAACTGCATAGCCTGCACATGGAGCAGTTCTGTCGTCACAGGCCGCTGTGCCGCTCACTGCTCAATCACATACTCGCCGAGCAGCTCTTCAATTTGCGGAAACCGATCCTGCTGTGGTCCACTGAAGCCTTTATCTTTGCTGTCGGCAATCTTCTGGTTTTATTTCCGCCAGTCCCGCACGCACATTTCGGGAACTCCGAACGACCGCGATGCGGCCCGATTTCCGTCCGTTTCTGCACCTGTGATGACTTTTGTTTTAAAAGCGGCATCGTGGTGCACTCGTCGAGTTTTTGGAGTCGGTCCTTCTATGCCGTCCGTGCTAATGCACCACAAGATGACGAACTCCTCAGAACATGTACGAAGTGCCTCACATGGGAAACACATAGACAGAAATTGCCGACGCCCCATGCGGACGCACGTAAGAGACGGCCATTTTGGACATGCCGATGGCAATAGAATGACCGTATTCATTGTTTTTTTCGTACTCGATTCTTATGCACATGCGATTTATGAACTCGCTTAACCAGAAAAAAGGTGCGTGTTAGATTCGAGTAATTACGGTAGCATATAACACTATAAAATAACTTGCATGCCATGACTTTTCACCATGGCCACCATGACTTTTCATCGCATTTGAGAGTGCCAGTGCAAGGGTCTACAGAGAGTCTTTTACTCCTCGCATTCTTTTGCAGTATCTCCGCTTCCTTCTTTTCACCAGCTGCGTCAATGAGGAACTTAAACAATTGAAGGGGGGTACCGGCACTAATCTGTCGCAACCGTTCCTTGCTCTGCGTGGTCGAGCAAGAGTTCACGCAGCAACTCAACTATCTGGTATTTGAAGGTGGTGACCACAGGGATGTCAATGCAAGTTAGGCATGTCGCAGAAGCCGCAGTAAGCATCGCAGCCTTCACTCAAGCCTACAGCTTTCCTCTGCCATGCAGGTCACGGATGTTCTTCGTCGCAGTGTGAGTGGGCGTGCTTTATTGCGTTACGGCAATGGGATTCGGGAGGAAAGCAATGCAAACGTAATTCACCGCATTTCTGTGACTGCTTAGTTACTCTTCTGAGGCTGTAAGTGAGCGTTGTAATGAATTGAATTTCAAAGGAAGCAGCTGCGATTGTAATGAATACTCATTTTTTTGTACTGTATACACAATTCTGCATGCAGTATATGTACGTTACCTTCGGTTTGTGTACTTTTGTGCAATAATGATATCTGAGGTTTCATCTGCCAAAACAGTGATATGGTTTTGAGGCACTTCGAAGTAGGATGGTTTTTGAAATTTTATCACCTGGTGTTCTTTGACGTGCACTGACGTTTCGTGCACTTGTCAGAGATGTTTTATTCGAAAACTGTCCTTTCATAATTGCATGATCCTTTTATCCTTGGAGTAATTCCCCGCGTACCACCTGAAAGCATCCAGTCTGGTCAGCTGCCAGCTTCCCAGAATGTCACGTGCTCTGTGACGCCAACAGGCAGATAAACGAGTGTTCGACACTCGCCGCCATGGCTCCTGGTGGCACTGACTGGTACTCCCATGTTTGAATGCACGTATATTCCTCGTAAAGTGAACAGGGGTATGGCCGCTGCTGGAGCCCAGTTCGTATAGCACCAACATGTTGTTCGAAAGCTCGCAGGTATGGTCTCGGCCCCGGCAAGTTATCTTTTCTTCCACATTTATTTCGTCACATTTCCATTACAAAGACTTCTAATAACATCCCCCATATGTTCCTTCGCATTATAATTTGGTAGCTCTCATTAATATTGTGTCTAACAAAGGAAAACGAGCCTTGAAATTATCACTCCTTTCATTTATTGATTTTTTAGTGTGTGTGTGTGTGTGTGTAAAATGTCAACGATCCACTGGAAGGCAACTTGCAGGTACATGTCTTGATGGACTAACATACAACATATACAATAACAATTACATTTGACAAAGACAGTGATGCTGTCAGCAAACATAACAATAGTGCAGCAGTTACAAAATGACTGTGGGGTGAGAAAAAATGAAGTTCTGTAATAAAGAAAACTTTTGTTTAGGAAAAAATTTTCTGGAAATGATGAAACGTGCATTGAAAGAGGCAATGATACCCTACACAATGTTGCAAACATTAACTGAAGTGTTAACAGTGTTTGGTGCTGTAAAACTGCTTTCAGTGTCAAAAGTCTTTCAAGCAGATGGTTCACGAAGCTGTCACACACTTTATCGTCGTACTATTGTCCGTCATGAGGAAGTTCTTGTTTTCTGAAGAGACATCATGCTGGTGGTGTCGGCTGGGGTTCTTGCAGCGAAACTTACAAAAGCTTCTGCTTTTGTAGGGAAAGCAGCAAAGAAATGCTGTGCCATGACGAATGGCTCTACCGTTGCAGTGACGTGAACGAAGTGTTTGACAGCTGCGTGATTCAGGCTCAAGCTTTGTGTCCGCTTGTTTTTCGGTGGCTGTCCGTCTTGCAGGAGTTTCGGGCCGACCGATGCAGTAAACTTGAAGCAGACGGGATTCGGATCATTATCGCCAACTTTCCGTCACTGCGAATACTGAGAATATACGACTGCGACCATCTTCGTTTTGGTAAGCATTCAATAAGTGATGTCGAAGCATGCGAAGGGATCAGTGTAAGGCAGTTTATTTTTTGGTAATTTTTGAAAAACATTTTCGATACCTTTCGATTTTCAAAGTGGCCGCTAACACGATGGGGGTTAGTGGTAGCACCACGGCGTGCTGGGGCTGTTTCGAGAACAAAAAAAAACTAAACAAGCAAAAGCAAATCTGGCTACAGGGGCAGCGACGCCATGAGCAGGTCGGAAGTTTATATTGCAGGTCTGGTTTGTATACACTCAAACCTCAATATAGTGAACCCGGATATAATGAAATATCTTTAATAACAAAGGAACAATAGTCTTGCAATAGCTGTAGTGTTGAAAATATACCTGTAGACCAAGTTTTCGGATATGATGAATATATTTTTTGTGTCAGATACAACCGTGTTATAATGAGGTATGAGTTAATAGCACGTGACTTTAGGCCTCTGTACATTTCCTTCACCACTTGCTTTCAGCGAATGCAGCAAGTTTCCTTTGCTGAAAACTTGCAACATTATTGTAGTTGTGCTTTCAAGTGCGGTGCACTTCAGAGAGGCCGGGCTGTCGTATGCTCTAACTCAAACTTCGATATAACGAACCCAGATATAGCAAACTACCGGTTGTAACAAAGCAAATGAAGAGTAGTCTTGCTGTAGATATAGTGTTAGGAATGTACCTTTATAACGAATTTCTGGATATGGAATTTATGGATATTTTCATCTAATATGCAACTTTGTTGTAATGAGGTTTAGAATAGCATGCTGTTGTCGCTTGGCATAGCGCTTTGCTTGTAGAATACGGAGAGAGCTCTTGCGCCAAGTTGAGAAGTCTTGTTTTAGCGCCTCGATGATTGATCTCTTATAATCATCAGCAAAAAAGAACCAGCGTGCTTGGCGTAATGCAGGTACAATTTCGTGTGAAAATAGAAAGAAGAGGAAGCAAGTGTGAAAGAGAAATAGTGGGCTGTAACATACAAAGAACAAAAAAGAATGAAATAGGAAATACATAGAGCTACACTGAAACCTTGATATAACAATATACTGGTTATAACAAAGTAAATAAAACTAGTCTTGCAATAAATATAGTGTTGAGAATGTACCTTTATAACGAATTTTCGGATATAAAAAGCTTTGTTCGTATAAGATGCAACTTCGTTTTAAGGGGAGACGCTCCTCGAAAAAGCTTTTTTTTTATTTCTAGTAATAGAGACTTGAAAAGTTTGTTATTAGTATAGTTTTTCATGCATATTTCAAATATGCAATCATTTTTTGTGTAACTGCTATAATTATTGAGTTATGCCATAAAAAATAGCAAAAAGTTACATTTCTTGCGGGCACTCTTTTATGTACTAAACTTTCAGTAAAAGCACTGTGTCTGATCTTATTTGACTCTTGGTAGATTGAAAAGTGCAAATATCTATATAGATATGTCACAGAAATATTGGAACCAAGAAAAAAAAAATTGTATTGAATGACTTATTATTTTCAATCTCCCTTGAAACAATAAGCTAATATTTTCACAACTAATGCTGGTAGGCATTGCAATTTAGAGTAGATATTTGCATTCTGCATGTTTGAAGAATATGTGTGCCAAGTTTCGTTACTATACAATGAATATAAGTTTCTAAAAGGCTGCCCGGAAAACGTGAAACTGTCAAAAAAAATGAAAATGAGAAAAACAAGTTTGAAAGTTCGCAAAGTTGGCATTTATTAGAAAATCATTCTTTTTGCATCAAATTGGGGCACAATGAAAAGTACCTTGCCTTGAATGCACTGCAAGTGTCTAGAAGTCCCCTTCAGCATAGCTTCGTCCTTCACGGCTCTTGCGGTCAGTGTCCTCAACACGAGCTCTCTTCGCTGTGTTGCGACGGTGTGCCCTCGCTTCTGCAGTTTGCTTCAGGTTCATCTTCCTGATGCGCATGACGTCACAGTGGTCACCATGTGTGGCCAGATCTTGTGAGGGGAGAATTTCAATGCCTTCGAGCACTTCTTCAAAGCCCCTGTGGCCTTTGTTGTACCAGAGTACAGCAAGAGCGGTGGCTGTCTCCACAGTTGTTCTGGAGGCGAACTTTGTTTTTGGACATAGCAGCCATATCTTGCTGTTCAGCGATTCGGCTGCATTCTGTGTCTTGCCATGAAGGCACCGAATAAGGAGTTTCTCCTCTGTAAGGCGCTTGTAGATAGGCATAATTGCCAATCCTTGAGCCTTCGTCAACAGTGGGGTGTGGCGTGGTGCAGGCTCCCCCAGTGCTTCTGCACGCTTGTGCTTGCACCACGAATTTGGTCCCGCGGGGCAAAAGTTGTGGCTACTGGCACCATCACTGGAGCAGCAATGAAAATACGATGCCCATATGGCAGTGTACATATTTCGGACACTGTCCTTGTTGCTCGTGATGGTGATCTTGTAATATGTTTGTAGTTTTATGATTGTCGCATCTTTCAGTTTTTCGCCTCGTGGCAGTGCGTTGCCAATTTCCGTAGGCCAGTTCCCAAGCGCTTTGCAACATGGTTCGTGCACTCTTCTTTGTCAATGGGGGTGTCACAGTATACATTTGCCTCGCAGACTGCAGTGTAGGCCTTGCTGTCACCATCACTTAGGAAGCTGGTGAATCGCAGTGGAGTTTCATAAGACAAGGTCCTCTGCCGTATATTGACAGCTGCCGCAGGTTCCATTGCATGGGATGAACAGTCAGGGTTTTTTTGGCAAACTGGAAGATGAAAAGCTCGCCATATCTCTTCATCCTCCCCAAGGTCCCCGTGTATACTGCAGCATGGCAGTAGTTCGAAAGAACTTCAAAATCGAGGCAGAGCCCCGTGTCCAGGGACACGACTGTGCCCACTCCATTGTGGCTTTTATGACCTCTTTCTGCCAGGTGCCATCAAACATGACTGGCACTCTCTGCACGCCGACTGCGTCCTTCGTGATGTTTCATGCCTGGTGCAAGTTTTTGCTCACTGCCGTCATCGCCGCACCATAGAGCTTCTTGGAAATGCCGTTGAATGTCTTGTGATGCATCGGGCTCGGAAGATCGAGAATCGCACAAAATCGTGAAAGTTGGTCGTGGCCTGCGCCTAGAGCGCGTGCTGCCAGAACTGCCTTCACGTTACAGCAAAGCTGTCACGCGAGCTGCCGCTGTCAAAAACGAGCGCTCGTTCCTTGGTCCCCGGCCGAAGCAGTACGTCCGACGTGTGCGTGAACGAAAGTGCAGATTCAGGGCAATCAGAATTTGACAGCGCAGTTCGAGGAATGCCGAAAGTCCTTTGCGCTTTCCAGCTGCCTCTCGCACGCCGAAGCTTCCGTTCGCGGCAGTTGGGCATTGCGCACCCGCCACAAGGTGCCGTCAGCGCATCGAGTTCGCAAAGCAGCATGTGTCGCAGTAGCAGCATCTACCGGTCCTACGTTCACTCCTCTGTAAGAATCCAATCTTCCGTTGGGATGCACTGACGATTTCACGGCATCGGCTATTTCACAACCACTGTCGCAGGGTTCGGTGACGGTGTTAGGCCTATCCGAAGTCGGAGCTTCGGGGCGTTGGTCGGGGCGACATCGTCGTTCGCTGTCGCTTTGCGAAGCGTCCGACAACAGTTTCCCTCGATACTTGTGGCGAGTTCTGAACTTTCGATTATCTGAACGGCACTTCTTCGGGCTTTGCCATGACGCAAAATGCAGAAAACGCAGAAAAACTCGATCGCGTCGTCCGAGGCTTCGCTCTTTTGCCAGAGAGATAGGAGGGGGAGGAGCGTGGAGCGCACCGCCGTACAATGGCGGCCTCGCGCTGTGTGCCGCGATATTCAAAACGCTGTGACGTACTTGTTGAATAAAAATTTCTGGAAAGAACCAATCAAACTTTGTGGAATACATTAAAAAGAGCTTTGGTGCATAGCTTGCTAGAATACGGAAGCCTGCGCAGTAAAGTCTTTTTAGCGCCGATTTGTCTCGTCATAGCAAAAAAACAGCGGCTTGGCTATGCGTAAGAAAAAGAAAGAGAGGAAGCAAGTGTGAAAAGAGAAATAGTGGGCTGTAACATACAAAGAACAAAAAAGAATGAAATAGGAAATACATAGAGCTACACTGAAACCTTAATATGACAAAATATTGGTTATAACAAAGTAATTAAAACTAGTCTTGCAATAAATATAGTGTTGAGAATGTACCTTTATAAAGAATTTTCGGATATAAAAAGCTTTGTTCGTATAAGATGCAACTTCGTTTTAAGGGGAGACGCTCCTCGAAAAAGCTTTTTTTTATTTCTAGTAATAGAGACTTGAAAAGTTTGTTATAGTATAGTTTTTCATGCATATTTCAATATGCAATCATTTTTTGTGTAACTGCTATAATTATTGAGTTATGCCATAAAAAATAGCAAAAAGTTACATTTCTTGCGGGCACTCTTTTATGTACTAAACTTTCAGTAAAAGCACTGTGTCTGATCTTATTTGACTCTTGGTAGATTGAAAAGTGCAAATATCTATATAGATATGTCACAGAAATATTGGAACCAAGAAAAAAAAATTGTATTGAATGACTTATTATTTTCAATCTCCCTTGAAACAATAAGCTAATATTTTCACAACTAATGCTGGTAGGCATTGCAATTTAGAGTAGATATTTGCATTCTGCATGTGTTGAAGAATATGTGTGCCAAGTTTCGTTACTATACAATGAATATAAGTTTCTAAAAGGCTGCCCGGAAAACGTGAAACTGTCAAAAAAATGAAAATGAGAAAAACAAGTTTGAAAGTTCGCAAAGTTGGCATTTATTAGAAAATCATTCTTTTTGCATCAAATTGGGGCACAATGAAAAGTACCTTGCCTTGAATGCACTGCAAGTGTCTAGAAGTCCCCTTCAGCATAGCTTCGTCCTTCACGGCTCTTGCGGTCAGTGTCCTCAACACGAGCTCTCTTCGCTGTGTTGCGACGGTGTGCCCTCGCTTCTGCAGTTTGCTTCAGGTTCATCTTCCTGATGCGCATGACGTCACAGTGGTCACCATGTGTGGCCAGATCTTGTGAGGGGAGAATTTCAATGCCTTCGAGCACTTCTCAAAGCCCCTGTGGCCTTTGTTGTACCAGAGTACAGCCAAGAGCGGTGGCTGTCTCCACAGTTGTTCTGGAGGCGAACTTTGTTTTTGGACATAGCAGCCATATCTTGCTGTCAGCGATTCGGCTGCATTCTGTGTCTTGCCATGAAGGCACCGAATAAGGAGTTTCTCCTCTGTAAGGCGCTTGTAGATAGGCATAATTGCCAATCCTTGAGCCTTCGTCAACAGTGGGGTGTGGCGTGGTGCAGGCTCCCCCAGTGCTTCTGCACGCTTGTGCTTGCACCACGAATTTGGTCCCGCGGGGCAAAAGTTGTGGCTACTGGCACCATCACTGGAGCAGCAATGAAAATACGATGCCCATATGGCAGTGTACATATTTCGGACACTGTCCTTGTTGCTCGTGATGGTGATCTTGTAATATGTTTGTAGTTTTATGATTGTCGCATCTTTCAGTTTTTCGCCTCGTGGCAGTGCGTTGCCAATTTCCGTAGGCCAGTTCCCAAGCGCTTTGCAACATGGTTCGTGCACTCTTGTTTGTCAATGGGGGTGTCACAGTATACATTTGCCTCGCAGACTGCAGTGTAGGCCTTGCTGTCACCATCACTTAGGAAGCTGGTGAATCGCAGTGGAGTTTCATAAGACAAGGTCCTCTGCCGTATATTGACAGCTGCCGCAGGTTCCATTGCATGGGATGAACAGTCAGGGTTTTTTTGGCAAACTGGAAGATGAAAAGCTCGCCATATCTCTTCATCCTCCCCAAGGTCCCCGTGTATACTGCAAGCATGGCAGTAGTTCGAAAGAACTTCAAAATCGAGGCAGAGCCCCGTGTCCAGGGACACGACTGTGCCCACTCCATTGTGGCTTTTATGACCTCTTTTCTGCCAGGTGCCATCAAACATGACTGGCACATCTCTGCCGCCGACTGCGTCCTTCGTGATGTTTCATGCCTGGTGCAAGTTTTTGCTCACTGCCGTCATCGCCGCACCATAGAGCTTCTTGGAAATGCCGTTGAATGTCTTGTGATGCATCGGGCTCGGAAGATCGAGAATCGCACAAAATCGTGAAAGTTGGTCGTGGCCTGCGCCTATAGCGCGTGCTGCCAGAACTGCCTTCACGTTTACAGCAAAGCTGTCACGCGAGCTGCCGCTGTCAAAACGAGCGCTCGTTCCTTGGTCCCCGGCCGAAGCAGTACGTCTCGACGTGTGCGTGAACGAAAGTGCAGATTCAGGGCAATCAGAATTTTGACAGCGCAGTTCGAGGAATGCCGAAAGTCCTTTGCGCTTTCCAGCTGCCTCTCGCACGCCGAGCTTCCGTTCGCGGCAGGTTGGGCATTGCGCACCCGCCACAAGTGCCGTCAGCGCATCGATTTCGCAAAGCAGCATGTTCGCAGTAGCAGCATCTACCGGTCTACGTTCACTCTCGAAGAATCCAATCTTCCTTTGGGATGCACTGACGAATTTCACGGCAGCGGCTATTTCACAACCACTGTCGCAGGGTTCGGTGACGGTGTTAGGCCTATCCGAAGTCGGAGCGTCGGGGCGTTGGTCGGGGGCGACATCGTCGTTCGCTGTCGCTTTGCGAAGCGTCCGACACCGTTTCCCTCGATACTTGTGGCGAGTTCTGAACTTTCGATTATCTGAACTGCACTTCTTCGGGCTTGCCATGACGCAAAAATGCAGAGAAACGCAGAAAAACTCGATCGCGTCGTCCGAGGCTTCGCTCTTTTGCCAGAGAGATAGGAGGGGGAGGAGCGTGGAGCGCACCGCCGTACAATGGCGGCCTCGCGCTGTGTGCCGCGATATTCAAAACGCGTGACGTACGCGTTGTTTTTCTCGTTTTTTGTTTATTCTGGGTGAAAACACGAGACTGGCTACTAGTGGATTATGAAGGATACAGCCTTCGCAGCATGCGTGCACGATTGCAAATGGGGGCCAACGCGTCGTTTTCGCGACAGGACGACGCGAACTTCGCCGTTTTTCGCGACTTTCGCGCATTTCTCGCGTCACCGCTGCCCACTTGGAAGCATTTTTTGATAATTTCTCGTGCGAATTTCAGCTTGATATTTTCAGAAGTAATAGATTATAGTCCAAGGATGCCAATACAGCCGGAAAATTTTCCGGAAAACCGCGACTTTTCGACCCGCGTCTCCCCTTAAAGAGGTTCGAGTAAGAAAAAGAAAAGGATAAAGAGTATCAAAGAAGGCTGCTCATGTGGCAAAGAAAGCACGCTTGGCAACTTTCGTGAGAAGATTGCTTGATTTTCTGTTCCGGGCTCGAAATAGCCATAACATAGGTAATCGTTTCATTGTAACGCAGCACCTGAGGCAGTACCAGCGATAATGGAAAGGAACGGCCAATTTTCCTGGTTCGTCTCCTGGTGACCACCCTTACAGCGCATGCCGGGCCCTCTGCTCTCGTACGCTGCCCCCTCTTTGCAGAGTCGCTGGCGAAAGCAACGAAATGCCTCCTCATCAGCGCTGCGTCCACACCTCCACTGCCCATGTGGAACCCCCTGCCCCTCTCCCTGCTCTCCTACACTCCTCCTTCACACGCTACCATTGATGACGCGCTTCAGGAGACGGAGTGCGTCTGCGTCAGGGATAGTCAGCGCCCTCTCACTTCAGCAACGAGGTGTTGGGAGAAGGGGTGCACGCCTCCCGTTCAGCTTCGTATTGGGTTTTAGTCATCTTGAGTGGGAGATAGTGTAATCTATTTAAAACTCTCGGGCAGGACCTAATTACATGTTACTGTTAACCAGTAGCTTTTTCAGGCAGCTTGAAGTTGTGTATCTTTCTCTCTAAGTTATGTAAACAATGCAATGTCGTTAGGACAAAGCCTTAAAGGCCAACTCCACATTTAAATGCACCTTTGAAAATCTCCTTATATTCGTCCAACACATCTGAGCAACCTGACCTGAACTGAGAAGCTTTTCGCGCAGGGCGCTTCAACATATAAGCTTTGAGTAATCCATGTTCGCACTACCTAAAAATTGTACTTTTCCAGTTGGAACAATAAAGGCATGCTTGAATTTAACATGCCTGTTTTGTGTTTGTTATGTGCCTTTTTAACAGATGCTTGGCTTGCGCTTTTTAAACGTATTTAAAACTAAGTGTATTCATGATTTTACAGGTATTATGATGGCACTTCCAGATGCTAACGTTTCTTGGAGACCGGCTATAATGGAACTTACAGGTGAAGTATGTGCAGTGGAGTTTTGTGAGAGGCCATTGTCCAGATTTTGTGTGCTCTCACTCAGTGTCAATGACGTTCATGCGTCCTCTATAATTATGACACTAACAGATAACAGTACAAGGAAAAGTATAGGCAATGTTATTAGAAATGATTGTGTAAATGTGAAGAAAGAAAAGTCGACGAAAAGATACCTTGCCACTGGCAGGATCCAAACCTGCGACCTTCGAATAATGTGTCCGATGCAGAGACTGCTATTAAGTTTCACTTTACTTCATTTATAGTGGCGATCTAATTCTAGCAGACTTCCGCCCCACCGCGGTAGTCTAGTGTAAGGTACTCGGCTGCTAACCCGCAGGTGGCGGGATCGAATCCCGGCTGTGGAAGTTGCATTTTTGCCCCACCGTGGTGGTCTAGTGGCTAAGGTACTCGGCTGCTGACCCGCAGGTCGCGGAATCGAATCCTGGATGTGGTGGCTGCATTTCTGATGGAGGCGGAAATGCTGTAGGCCCGTGTGCTCAGATTTAGGTGCACGTTAAAGAACCCCAAGTGTTCAAAATTTCCGGAGCCCTCCGCTACGATCGTCTCATAATCATATGATGATTTTAGGACGTTAAACCCTACATATCAATCCTCACAGACTTGATGCCTTGAGGTCGTATGCAACAAGTTATTGATTAGCTGCCATTTTGTAATAAGATCGCGTACTACGTGACGCCGAACATGCAAAAAAGGTTACACACCTGCAGTAATGGCACAAAATGACGCTGACAGACGCTCCGTTTAAACCCACATGTATATTCTATAAAGTGGCTGAGGGGATGACCATAACGTAGCTGAGTGGTAGAGCATCAGATGCATTATTCAACGGTTGCAAGTTTGGATCCTGCCGGTGGCAAGATCTATTTTTTATCTTTTTTTTTCTTCACTTTTAGACTACAACTTGTCATAGTATCCCCTATACTTTCCCGGTGTTATTGTTGGTTAGTTTTCATTATTAGTGTGTCTAATGAAGAAAATGAGCCCATTTACTCTTTCTATACTTCTCCTATGTACGTTATTGCAGATCCTGAAGGTACAACATCAAGGGGGCCAAGTTAAGCAAAAACTGCCAATGACAGAGATATGGCAGCCTTTGGAGTTCATATTTCTGACATAAGAAGTCATTTTTGTTACCACTGTCCCAGATTGGCAGTGCTCACGAGCCTGTGGGAAAACTTCTTTCACCAAAGTGCCACGGGAGCGCTCTCTGGAAGGCAAACAGAAGACAGCTGCCTCACCGTGCTTATACCAACAAGTTTTCTTATGCCTCATAATTTTCAGCATTGCCTTTCTCATAGCCCCATTGGTCAATGTGCTGCAGTTTACCATGTGTTTTCCAAAAGCTTTCATCTCTGTTGCTTTTTATAATCTGACATAAAACAGTCACTCCTTGGTTTTATTTCACGACAGCTTCTATAGAAGTTTTGGCATTTATGTAATTCATTTTTACAGTGCTTGGATGCTTAATTCAGCACTTTTTGTATAAGTTATTGCTCTCAGAATAAAGTTCCTATTAAGACTATTTTATGTATTGTCTTTATAGATCTTTTATGCTTTATAGATTGCATTACAAACACTAAAGGTGTGCCGTATGTGTTGTTTTATTACAATAGCAACTTTAGGGACACGCCGTCGCCATCGGCGTGATGTTCGATATAAAGTGTGCGACGATAACATCGCTCCATGTATCGTATATCCTGTGTGCTGGTAAAGGTTGCGAGAGCTGCTAACGATCGCTCATCAAGTGGAAAGAGAACATGCCGGCTGCCCTTGTTTCCCCAATTCGCTCCATGTGTCTGCATTCCTTGGACATATTTCTGCGAATTGGTATTTTCTCGTTAAAGAACACCAGATGATGAAAATTTCTGGAGCCCTCCATTATGGTGCCTCTCATTTCATATCTTAGTTTTCCGACTTGAAACCCCGGATATAATTGTTAGAATTGCTATTTCCTAACGCCACAACTTTTGAAAGGAAGGGCCACTGGGTATAATGCGCGCTTCTGTTACGTTAACACGTGTCGATTTGCTCGTTGTAGTCTCCAGCGGCTGTGAAGCAACTGTCCACGGTCAGTCAGGCCTGCGAAGGATGCTAAGAATCTTGGGTCCGAACAGGCCACCACTGGAATCTGAACTTCGCTATGTTGAACGTTAGAACACTATCTAGCGAGGCTAGATAAACTGTGCTTTTCAAAAAAGTTAGAGGGTGTTAAATGGGATCTGATAGGGCACACCGAATTTAGGAGGACACGTAAGGGTTATACAGGGCTGAAGAACAGACACGTCCTATGCTACCGTGGAATTAGTAGGTAAAAGGCAACTAAGGATGAGGTTTCTTATGCACAAGAATATCACTTGGCAACATGGAGGAATACTATAGCATTAGTGAGAGGGTGGCCAGTATTATAATTAAGTTTAATAAAAGGTACAAGATATAGGTGGCACAGGACTACGCGCCTACATTGAACCATGATGATCATTTGGTTGAATGCTTCTATGAAGACGTAGAGTCGGCCATTAATAAAGATGCAGTATACTATTCTGATTGGCGACTTTAATGCCAAAGTAAGCAAGAAATGGGCTAGAGACCATGCAGTGGGGGAATATGGCACCATCTCTAGAAATACCAGAGAGGAGTCATTAGTAAAGTTCGCAGACCGTAATAACTCACGGATCTTCAATACCTTCTTCAGAAAACGGGCTAACCGTAAGTAGATGTGGCGAAGTCTTGATTGCAAAACTAAATGCGAAATCGATTTCATTCTGTGTGCACACCCAGACATTGTACAGAATATAGTAGTAGTTGGCAAGATTCGATGCAATGACCATAGAATGGTAAGAGCTCGTATTCACCTACACTTGAAAAAAGCCAAGGAATAAACCAATATGCAAGAAGCCAAATAATGAGCTAGCCATGAGAGGGAAAGGACAGCAATTCAAAGCTTCGCTTCAGAATAGATTCGAGGCTTTAAATGGGGTAACCTACATTAGTGTTGACACAATGAACAATAATCTTGCTAGTATCTTCAAAGTGTGCAATGGAAGTCTGAGTTACAGTCACTAGAAACGGCACTGGCCAACTGCAGTATTGACTATTCAGTCGAATATGTTTGTACAGTATATTTTGTATTGACTTGTGCAATGTATGGCCTGTGTGCTGAACTGTTGTAAAAGCAGAAGCCTTTGTCAGGCCACATGGCCTTTAGCTTCTGCTTCCTTTCTGTCATAAACAGAAGAAACAAAGTCATTTCAATCTCGGGTGACTAAAGATGTCATTAAAAGACAACGAGCCATGAATGCCTCAGATGCAATCAACAATAAAGAGCTAGGGGAGTTTTTGAAGTTAATCAATAGGCGCAAGGTAGCTCACATTAAAAAGTACAAGATGAGAGAATTGAGCAGGATGTAAAAGTGGCAGAAGCCTAAAAACTACGAAGGCAAAGTTGTGCATAGGCAAAAATTGAAAGTGTGCATTAAGTTACAAGGTAGGCAATGTCATAACCAATATGGATATGGTAGTTAAGGTGGTGGAGGAGTTCTGCAGAAGCTGTAGAGAAGCCGAGTGAAGCAGAATGATATAAGAAGCAATAATAGCCCAGAGGAGTTTGACATCTTACCAGTAACTACAGGGATAGTAAGAAAAGCTGTAGAAGGAATGCAAAGTTTCTGGTGAGGATAAAGTAACAACAGACCTGCTGGAAGATGGTGGAAATATTGTGTTGGAAAAGCTGGCCACCTTATGCATAAACTGTTTCTTGACTGAAGGAGGAGCAGAATCTTGGAAGAATGCCAACATCAATTTCATCCATAATAAAAGAGACGTCATGGACTTGAAAAAGTACAGGCCGATCAGCTTACTGTTCCTTCTCTACAAACTACTCACAAAATTAATAGCTAATACATTTAAGGTGACATTAGAGTTCAATCAACCAAAGAACCAAGCAGGATTTCGTACAGGCTACTCCACAATACGTCTTATTCATACTATCGATCAGGCAATAGGGAATTCGCGGAATACGGACCAAACCCTATGCATAGCATTCATTGATTATGATAAGGCGTTTGACTCAGTTGAGACGGAAGAAATGCAGGCACTACGGAATCAGGGCATCGACAAACCCTACATAACTGGAAGAAATCTAACATGGATCTGGAGCCACCATAGTCTTCCATAAAAAAAGCGACACAATCCCAATAAAGAAGGGTGTAAGGCAAGAAGACGCGATCTCTCTAATGCTATTCACCGCAGTGTTTGTAGGAGGTTTTAAGAGCCCTAAATTGGAAATAGTTAGGAATAAGAGTTAATGGAGAGTATGTTGCTACCAACAATTTGCTGATGACATTGCCTTGATGAGTAACCCAGGCAATGAATTACAGCTCATGATTACTGAACTAGACATGGAAAGCAGAAAAGCAGGTCTGAAAATTAATATGCACTTTGTGATAGGTGGAGAGATGCTGGAAATTGTAAAGGAATATGTCTACTTAGGACAGCCAGTAACCACGGAGCCAAACCATGAGAGTGAAGTAACTAGGAGAATAAGGACTGGGTGGATGACATTCCGCACGCATTCTCAAATCATAAATGGTAATCTGCCACTAACCCTCAAGAGGGAGGTATATGGCAGCTGCATCTTGCCAGTACTTACCCATGGAGCAGAAACCTGGAGGCTTACATAGACGGTTAAACCTTAATTGAGGATTACGCAGAAAGCGATGAAAGGGAAATGCAAAGAGTGTAACCTAAAGAGACAAAAAGAGAGCAGAGTGGGTCAGGGAACAAACCAGGGTCAAGGACATCAGAGTTGAAATGAATAAGAAGAAATGAACATGGGGCGGGCTCGTAGGCAGGACAACTGCTGTTCATCAAGGGCAACTGACTGGATTCCCAGAAAAAGCGGACTGTCGAAGGGCAGACAGAAAGTTAGGTGGGCCGATGAGATTAAAAAGTTCGCAGGTATAGCATGGCAGCAGAAAACACAAGACTGGGTTGGTTGGCAGATAATGGGGGAGGCGTCTGTCCTGCAGTGGGCGTAGTGAGGCTGACGACAATGACACCCATAAAAAATGCAAAAATGAGCATTTTGAATGTGTGCAGTGACTGGCATTTTGAAAAATATTTGCATGTCATGGATGTAAACGTGGGGTTTACACTTTTCTTCGGTTTCCGTCGCGGCATATGTACTGCCGTTTTCGAACGAGAAAGCCGGCAGAATGGTTTTGAGTTGCCATGCGCGAAGTCACGGATAAGGTTCTCTCTCACAGCACCAAATTCTGAGAAGAGATGAATTAAAAAAAGCACAAAGAGAAAAAAAACACTTCTTTTGCCATACATAATGCTAAAATTAACAAATCCTCATGAAGAATAAAGCTAAGTCCTCGCTGGTATTCTTCATAACCCACTGAAAATAAATGCAATTTTAAAGCCGATAACTCGTATGCCTAAACTCTGGCACAGTTACCTTGCTGTCTCTGATGCCTACAACCCATTTGCATACTCACATTGCTCTTATTAGGTTTGATAAATGTACTTGGAATGTGCATTGTGACATCATAAAGATTCAACCATAAAGGTCCGAAGTGTGCGTGAAACAAGAATCTTTGATGTTTACATGAGTGTGTATGTTCTTTGGATGGGTGCCTGGCTGATCCGCACCGGAGGCTTATGGTGAACCACTGTAGCCCGTTGCCAGGGTTGCATCATCACCTTATACAGGATAAAGTTTACAAGAATGGACACTGGTCCACCTGCATACAAAAAATGCTAAAATCACTGTTTGCGCAATACGAGCACAACTATACCGGAAAGGTCGGGAGAGTAGTAAGCTCTTGTAATCTGACTGTCCAGAGGGGTTGGCATGCGGAACGCATTCCTTGTGAGAGAACCAGACAACAAAGCTGCATTGGCAGGATGTGCTTTGGACCCTCTGCATAGGGGATGCCGCAGCTAGGATTCTGTTCTCGCAGGCTTGTCAGAGAAGTTTCCAATTCATTCATGCCTCGGAGGTGCGGGTGGTTGTGCACTCACCTCTGATCACGCCCCTCTTTACCTCAACGCGATACGTGGCGGGCAACCTGTGAGTGGCCATGGAGCTCAAACGGCTAACAGAGAGGGTACAACGGGGAGTCCGCTTCACCCCCGTGGAGTTCCCGCTGGTATGGCGTCGCTGTGTTGATGGTGGCAAAAGGCTGCATGTCTTCTCCGGCTTCCCTACACGAGGCCAGGCTGGTGGTTCTTATGGCTTGGATATCTTAATTGAAAAGAACCCCTGCTGAGTGGCGATGGCACCAAGTCATTGGGGCCGCCACTACCACTATATCAATTCAAAAATATTAAAGAACACTGTTTATGTGTCTGGCATTATCCAGTTTCACATTTTTCGGCAGTCGCTCGCTACAGGAATGTTGCCTTCTGACTGGAAGATAGCAAAAGTAGTGCCAGTTTATAAAAGTGGTAGTAAAAGTTCGCCTGCAAATTATCGCCCCATGTCCTTGACGTGCATATGTTGCAAGATGCTTGAGCATATCATAGCTTCTAACATTTATGCGCATCTAGAATCTAACAATTTCATTTTCTCAAACCAGCACGGGTTCCGAAAGGGTCATTCTTGTGAGACTCAACTCTTTGAGTTCACCACCGACCTACATTCTAACATGAAGAGTAATCTACAGACAGATTGTTTATTTCTTGATTTTGCAAAGGCATTCGATCGTGTTGCTCATTGTCGCTTGATATTAAAACTGTCATCACTAAAACTTGATTCACTCATGCTAACATGGCTCAGAAACTTCCTAACTAACCGCCAACAATTCACTATCGCCAACAATCACTCTTCATCACTCTGTTAGGTTTTTTCTGGTGTACCACAGGGCAGTGTTCTTGATCCCTTACTTTTCCTCATCTACATTAACGACCTGCCTGACAACTTATCCTCATGTATGCGTATATTTGCCGATGACAGCATTATCTATCGTCCCATCCGCAACAATAGCGATCATCTAACTCTTCAAAAAGACCTCGAGCATATAATTCAGTGGTGCAAAACATGGCAGATGACACTTAATGTTTCCAAATGCAAACTAATCACCTTTAGTCGCTAACGTGATAACTTTAATAGCCAATACATAATTGATAATACCATTGTAGAACGCACTGATCATTACAAATACCTAGGCATAAACTTAACTTCTACACTTTCGTGGTCCACACATATCACTTCTATCTGTGCCAACACATCCAGATTATTAGGTTTTCTGTGCCGAAATCTATACAGTGCTCCCTCCGATGTGCGCAAACTTGCTTATCTTGCTCTAATCCGTCCTCAACTGGAGTTCGCATCCTCCATTTGGTCACCATAACAACAATACCTCATAGATAAGTTAGAATGTATACAGAACAGAGCTAGTCGATTCATAGTGCGTAATCACAGCTGCCCGTCCAGCGTGACACAGATTAAACGTAGCCTTGCACTCGAGCCACTGAAAATTCGCCGCGACATCTCACTTTTAGCACTATTTCGTAAACTCATCCACACCAGCGTAATGCAATCTGTTCACCTTAATCTAGCACATCGAACTTCGAGAAGACTACATAACATCTTTAGCTTATCACTCATGTATGGCAATACTAACGCTTTCAACCAGTCGGCTCTTCCGCGAGCTATTCGTTTGTGGAATGATTTGCCAGATAATCTTGCGTCAGAACAAGACCACACAAAGTTCTATCATACTCTTAAAAAATACTTATGCACCAAAAACTGCTCTATTTATCTTCGTAATCATCAGTGTTCATAGGACTGTTGCCGATGTTTTTGCACTATTGCTAGGCTGTAGTTACTGTCATAATAGTTTTTTTTATTTCACCTTCACATACTGTAACTCACATTTCTAGTATGTATTTTGCTTACATGTTCATAAATTGAACTGCATTTTCTATTATATTCATTATTTGCCTATGTAGGTGTAGATATTATGTATATATATTTTTCTAACATATTATCTGTACCGCCCCCCTTATACAATGCCCCTCGAGGGCTCTGTAAGGTATTGTAAATATATAAATAAATATATTTGTTAGGTTTGAGTATTCGCTATGGCCAAATGTATATGCACCTTCAGCAATCTTTTAGCCTGGACGTTGTTTTTTCTGCACGCAGCTCAAACACTGAGAGGTATTTATTCACAGGTGATCGCGTAAAATGCATTTCACCTCGACTAAAATGTCAAACCGCGAAGTTTCGTCAATCACATGTTACTGCCACCTGACCACAATGACTGCCAATGTTTTCACAAGCGAGGCGCGTTGTTATCCACACAACTCGCATTCAACACACAGTATTCCCAGTTTGATCGTCTGTTATGGTGAACCAATATTGTCGATGCTTTTCGATGCACGCTACAATAAAGACTACATTTTGAAAGACGATGCCACTGTTCTGGCCGAGCTGATGGGTATGCCAATTTGCCTAGTCTTGTGCTTGCAAGGTTCTAAGGCACCTGTTGGCTTTGTTTTGCATAAAGCAACAGACCGTTGTGAACTTTGTGACCCGACTTCAACTGGTGAGCTTAAAAAGTTCAGGTGGTGAAGTGCAACTGCGGAACATGAACTGGTTGTTTTGTCACAAAGCTCCAAGCCATGAGAAGCCAAACAGATTGATTGATTGATATGTGGGGTTTAACGTCCCAAAACCACTATATGATTATGAGAGACGCCGTAGTGGAGGGCTCCGGAAATTTTGACCACCTGGGGTTCTTTAACGTGCACCAAAATCTGAGCACACGGGCCTACAACATTTCCGCCTCCATCGGAAATGCAGCCGCCGCAGCCGGGATTTGAACCCGCGACCTGCGGGTCAGCAGCCGAGTACCTTAGCCACTAGACCACCACTGCGGGGCAAGAGAGAAGCCAAACAGAGCTGAAAGTTTTAAGATCATACAAATTAGTGTACTACCCATCGTTCCAATGCTGGCTGAAGCGTCGTGCAGTGCAGCCTTCCAAAACACTAATGCTAGAGATCCTTAAATAGTATCTATAGGAGACTATCGTGTTAAGTACATATTCTAGAGTCATGGGTCCTACGATTACTAGATCTGGCAACCTGAGCAGAATCTGGTGGCCATGCTCCAGTGCCCCGGCTAAGCACCTTAGCGCCAGTCAGAGTTGTGGTCTCTAATGACGTTGGTGGCTACAAAATGCTCCTGATCACATGTTTTGACACTTCGTATGAAATAGCAGTACCTCAATGACATGTTCTACATTACAGCGAAAGCTGTTGTGAGATCAAAACTCGGGTCACGCGCGGCGCCGTAGTTTTCCGCTGCCGGTGTCCGTAACCACTTTCGCGAAATAAGATAAAAAGAACATAGTACCAAGAACACAGTGGGGCTCGAGCCCGGGTCCGCTGTGTGTCAGCTTAGTATTCTACCACTGAGCCACGCCGGTGCTTGAGACTTGTTCGCAAACTTGCCTTAGGCAGGCTTGATGTCGGGAAAATAACTGTGTTAATATGAGTTATAAAGCGTTTTAGAACAGCAAAATAACAACGAGGCATCACACAATGCGAATAGCGTAACGAGTGCATCGTCGAATCGTCCAACACATTACAAAAGCTTGTTTTTGATCGCCTATGATTGGTTGGTTGGTTCTTCAACACCTTGGCGCAACCCTCCTAGGGCGATAGGCCATAAATGGGACGGTACCTTGCTTTTTTAAATTAACTGTGGCGCCTATGAACTGTGGCACATACCCACCTCGGGCGTAATTCTTCATCGTCGTCAGCCACTGCATGAACAATTGGCACAAAATTCCTTGCAAGTGTTTAGCGGATACAATGCTTTCTCAGAAGAATGACGAAAAATAGCATAGCAAATGCTGCAAGTGTGCTTGCGGCAGTTACCCAATGAGTGTTTAGAAAAGCCCTCTGAAAGGCTGCTCTTCTAGCTTTCCCTGCGATGGTGCTGCGCCTTCCGCGCAGGCCTGGCATTTTTTTTATTGTTGCGTGATCATTTTTCAGAAGAGGGAATGGCATTTAGAAAGGAATGTACCGAAAGTAAGAAAAATAAATTAAAAAATATGTTTCTGTGGGCATATCATCATCTAGTGGGAACATGTTCGGGATACAATGAAAACTAAGAGAGGAAAGTTGTACACTATCCCTAATCGGGAATATGAAGAGACAAAGCTCAGAAAACAAAGCAAAACTCGCTTAGATTTAACAGCATGTAAGCCAACGCATTTGTATTGTTTTCACTTTTTTCTGCGCAACAAATATTAGTGCAGTAGATACAGACAAAATTCTGAAAATTGTGAAAAGCGTGCAGTACGATTTCCTACATCGGCAGTGGATATCAACGCAAGAATACCGCAATATAATGTCGCTCCCCCTTAGACGCCTAGATGGCGCTTGGTGGAAGCGTTGTGCGCCGTGCAGCCAATTAGGACGCGTCCCCGGGAGCTGGATGATGGTGCTGGCCCTTTGCACGGGTCTCCTTTGCCTTCTTGACTTCATCGGCACTGCGAGTTCACACATGTATACCCGTTATATTGCGATGCTGCGCCAAAAAGCTTAAAAAAAGAACAGACCTCAGTGTACTGCGCCAAACAGTACGGAAACGGAAGTTATTTTTTCCCCGTTAAATATTCACTTGCAAAACATATTATAGTTTTTCACATATTATGGTTTATAGAACGTACCAGGTTGAGCGTTTAATTTTTCTTTATTGTATATAGTCCACTAGGCAAAGATATAGAGACGTATAAATGTTTTAATGAAAAGCTGAAAATGGTGCACGCACACACACACACAGAGAGAGAGAGATCGTACCGTTCGCAGTTTCGCGCGTTCACTGGTGCGGCTTTGCCATGATAAATAAGCTACCCATATATAGTACAACATGGTCAGATTGTGTCTGAAATTTAATTTGACGTATGTATCTGGTTAGTGCAATTATCTCGACATAATCAGCACTATATGTGCGCTTTCAGTTAGGACGATTTCTGCTACAGCATCCCCTCCCCCGAAATTTAAGTTTGTACGTGTGCACGCCCTCTACAGTTACAAGCGTCAAACGTAAGCGAAAATGGAACTATTTAACGCACATCGAACAATCGGAAACTAAAAGTAAAGAAGTCTCGTGAGAATTACGTGAGTTTACAACTTACATGGAATCGATAACGAAAGGTTTTGTCCTGTCCACAGCCCATCTTCTGATGTCTAAAGCCGAATCATTGCTGTCACATGCTCTGGAAAAGTACGAACTTCGTTAGACCTACAAGAGGCAAATATGACAACCTATGAAGTGATTATTATATCTGGCCATTTTCTTGATGATACCTTAATCGTCGATGCAAAAACATGGTTTGCATGTGCTATGTTATTAATCTTCTGCACTAAATTTCGCTAGAATACAAACTATTTGTATAATCTCTACAGACTAAAATTGACGCAAATATGGCAATACATTATTTGCATCTTGTTTTATGAAATAATCGTCGCAGTTCGTCATTGCCTGATAATGTTTTTGCTGGGGCCAGATCAATATGGTTGCTGCTTGCTACGAAATTTTACGACGGACTGATTTCATGATAGTATTTTACGATCTTACAATTCTGAGTTATGTTGAGTAGAATATTACTGAGTGAAGATTCTTACGTTGCGGATCCTTCCAATTCCTTTCTGTAAGCAGAAAAAGAAACGGTATCTACTTTCAGCTTAACTGAGAGTACCTTGAAGTTTATTGCAAGCACACACGCGCCTGACAAATATTGTAAGTCATCTAAAAAAAATCGACCTGTCTTTTCTGCAACTCTTACATACTGAAGGTAGCGGTAACTGTGGCGAGGACAACAAAAAAATCGAAGATTATGCGTCAGCTGACCGCTTTTCATTAGGCTACCAGGTGTTCCTTAGTGCCGAATCGTCTCGGCTATGGTCCCCACTCGTGTGATAAACAGTTCGAAAGAGAGATAAAAGGAACGTGGACGGGGTGACCAAGCTGCACTCTCAACCACAGCAATCGAAAACAGTGAATCGTCGTGGTGATAAGTTATTAATTGTCTTATTGCAAAAGATGCTTCCGTCACTTTAGCTGACATAAGCTACTATAATGAAAACACTAATGTAAGTTTAACTATTTGAATATTGGCCTTTAGTGCTAGATTGTCAATGGGACGTCACAAATTTGATTGTATTTTCGTATTTTGGCTGTTGGGGGTTCTCTAGATCTCCGTAAATTTCGCTAAGATCACCGTCCGGTGTTGTTAGCGCAGTGTTTTTAGTTCTGGAAACAGTCTAGATCATTCATGTCAAGGCCCATTGCAGTGTCTTAATATAAATAGTCGGCGTTTAACGTCTCAAAAGCACTATGCCATTATGAGAGACGCTGTAGTGGAGGGCTCCGGCAATTTTGACCACCTGCGGTTCTTTAACGTGCTCGGAACTTTAAGCACATGATCCTGAAGCATTTTCGCTTTCATCGAAAGTACAGCCGGAATTCGATCCCGTGACATGCTAGCGATATTAGTATCATGAACGCTCAACAGTAAAAATTGCAAATTTATAATAAATAGGAAAAATGCTCATCATTGCGAATCACGCTACAATGGGGACTACTGGGTTATTTTTTACCACCAGTGGTTGTTTAGGTTGTGCCTTAATAAAAGTACTGCAAGAACGTTCTCGTATTTCACCCCCATCGAGATGGGGTTACTGTGGCCGAGACTTTAACCCCGCCCTTAAGCGAGCTTAGCGGGGCTGTAATGTTCATTTTCTTAACCTTGGCTGCATCTATAATAATCAAAGAATCAAAAATTTTTTTCTTACGGCATGTGGTAGGGGTTTTCCTCGAATTTCCTGAAACGGCAATGAAACGTGTCAATTTACGGAAACCTGTGTTCCGGGACTTGTGGAGCCATGCCGGACATGTTCACAGTTCGGAGTAAGAGTAGTCAGTTCCTCTGTCATTTTTCGTATACGCAAAACTTCCTCCCCATTTGAGTGTGCCCGCAACACCACATTCAAGGAGACCCGTGATTGGCGAAAAGCGTGAACTCATAAAAGAAAACTACGAAAGTCAACTATATATAACGCATGGGCCACGTCTCACCTGGTGCCGTGGCACAGTATGCGAGCACAGAACTGCAAGTGGTGTTCAGGGCCTTGTATGACTGAAGAACTCTGATGGTATCACGATGCATTTGTTAGCGGCTGCATTAACACGTCTGTGGAACTTGCTGTTGGGCGAGTTGGTGCTGAATCGCATACATTTTTATTACTAAAGCGGAGAATAAAATAACCATGAGAAAGAGAAGAAGATGACAGCCCACAGGGCAAAGGCTCGTGTCCGTGAAAGTTGTTCTCTTTTGTACAATTCTGTTGGTTGCAACCAAGGAGGATTAAAGAAAAATTGCTGAAGTGGAAGCTCTAGCGATGGCTTGCCAGCAGAAGTGAAGCCACTTATTGCCACTGCCAAGATGGCGGAAACATGCTCTTTTCTGATAGTGCCCTTTTAAAGATCAAGTGGCTTTGATACATTATGTAAATGCTACGTTAGTTCTATATTAAAGGATAGCTGTTCCCGACGAAATAACACACAGAAACAAGTATGGATGACTGAATCTTCAAAGAACTTCGCCTCCAATTAGAGGCTCACTACGGAAATTTAGTAACTTTAAGACGCACGTGCGTCTTAAAGTTACTAAGTAAGTACTTGGAGCACTATGTGGCCCGAAAAAGTTCCCACATTAAACTCGTTGGACGTGCGAGGAAAACGCTTTGTTTTTAATCACTGAACGGCGATACTTTATCATGCCCCTAGTAAGATGGCCGCCACAGCCGCCATCTTGCCAGAGGAACGGCTTCACTTCTACGCAATCATTTCCATTCCAGCAATTTTTTTATTCCTCCTTGGTTGCAACTTGAACTAAAGAAATGTATGTGTCACTTGCAGAAAGTGATGCCATAACCAAAGTACTTGGCGCGCGCAACTTCGAACTTCCTCAATCAAACACACTCACATTCAACCACGCATCCACTCAAGATCAAACCTCTCACAGTTGCGCCAAGTATCTTCAACAAGCCTAGCAAGAAGTTCTGATGAAAAAGCGGTGTAATTCTAGATTAAAAGAAGATGAAGATGGGAAAAAGAGCAGTGGCTTACAGGAACTTTCCCTCGCTGAAAAAAAAGCAAGCCATATATTTCAAGAAACTTGCATGGATGCACACAAAGCTGATACGTTAATAATGAATCTTCCTGCAACGTTTAGGTAAGACGCAGCGAAGCAACCTATGAGCCAGGTAAGGTACGTAACAGTGTCGTCCGTATAAAAGATGGTGGATGGACAGGCTGATTCCATTTTCTTTAAATTATTTGCTATATCGTGAGCAGTAGAGTCGTATTGAGGCAAGGTGGCGATAAAAAAAGCTCGACAAGATTGAGTCAGTCACGGTCGTATACTTACGGGTCCCTCACAGGTCGCCTGAGCAAAAGAAACGAAACCACGAGGGTTATGTTGAAGGCACATATATCCAAAAAATTTAGTCAGTCAAGTTGGTATGTGACAACGAAACTGGCAAAGACGTCAACAAGAAGGGATGCGGGACGCAATAATAGTTATTAGGACGCGTCACTATATGAACTGTATTTAGGCACAATTGACAGTATATTTAGCTACTTTAGATACCATATTTAGAATGGGCGTCAGAGAGAAAAAAAAGGAAAAAAACGCGCGCTCTTGTTAACCTTAAAACGTTTTATGCGTCGTATGTTATGCATGTTGAAAATCTGAAGGCGTCCTACCTTTTGCAATAGTTGATTTTTTCGTATGTGCGTTCGAGAATGTATCGTGCGTAAGGGCGTGTAATTTTTTACTAGTGGAACGCCGCCGTTCAGTTGAGTTTTGCTGTCTCGAAGCGCGACGCCACATGCGCGTCCCCTGGAGAATCAGGAGAATTGTAGATGTCGAACGCGGTGTGTAGAGGAGGAAGGGTGCACAGATGGTGGAGGAGTGAAGCGCGCGCGGTGTGTAGAGGAGGAAGGGATGTACAGATGGTGGAAGAGTGGGCGACGGCGCATGCGCGCGCGTCAGCTGTCGAATGTTCGAGAAGCGGTGCGGACGGCGCACTACAAGGCGCGAGTATAAGATGCTTCGCATCTAAAAAGGAGCTTTGAGACGGCATCGGTGAAAATGCAACGCGGCACGTGCGTCTCGCGCCCTGCAGTGAGTGAGTGAGAACTTTAATTTGGTCCAAAGGCGGCAGAGACTAGACGGGACCGGAGGCCCCGCTAGCTCAGCCAGGTGGCTCCGCCCAGGATGGTGCCGAGAGGTGGAGTCTCTCGGCGATGTCCCGGGCCCTCTGGAGGGCCAGGAGTTGGTTGTCGAGTTCCGTGATGCGGGCGGCGGCCTTCCAAGAGGTTTGGTCCGGTAGTTGCGACCCCGAGTTAAAGGGGCGCAACCAGAGCATGTGTTTGAAATTACAGTACTCGTGATGACAGTGCGGGCAGTGGAGTGAAAAAAGAAAAATCAGGGTCGAGTCTTGTGCAGCATGGTTGGTGTGATGTACGTTTGCATGTGTAGTTGCCGAAGTGTAACTGCTTGTCCTTTATTCAATTTAGTGTGCGGAAGAGGGAAAATTCTGTGCCCTAGTAATGAGCTTTGCTGATCTCGTGAAATGTAATCAATGGATCCTCGAAGTTCATACATCCCCGCTCACTAACCCTCTGAGAGGGTCGCTCACCTGCCGCGGGTAGGTAGTTTGCGCGCTAGCTGGTGAGCCCTCTCGTTTGCCGATACGGCAAGACGAGAGATTACCCATATGGGCCGGGGAACTTTTTGTCAGGGGAACTTCCACTTCATTTTCATAAGTAGGTACCTTATTCGTGATGCGAGCAGCCGCTAGTAGAGACGAAGCAAGATGAGAATGACCAGACAGCTGTTCTTTAGTCCGAAAAGATGGTGACATCCGTTCTTCGTTCGTGAAGAGCGATCGCATTTGCGAGTTCCTAGGCTTCGTGAGTGAATCTGGTGATCGCCGTGGAAGCGTTTACTAGGCATCCTTTCTCGTTAAAAACAGTGACGACATACGCATCCTTCTTCCAGTATTGGGCTGCATCGACAAAGAGGGCAGCTGAGCTTGAGCGCCCAATCTTCCTCATGATGGCCTCGGTTCTTGCTCGTCGGCGCCCTTCGTTGTGCACCGGATAGATGTTCCTAGGGTCCGGGTCGACACATATGGCCCATCTTATCTCAGCAGATATACTCTGTTTTTCTGGTGGCATGAAGAGGGGTTGTAGCCCGGCTTCTGAGAGGATCCTGGTGCCCGCTTTGGTAAGTGACAATATGCATAGCTGCGCTGTTCGTTGAGCTTCAAAGAGCTCCGTTGCTGTGTTATGCAGTCCGAGTTGTAAGAAGCGCTCCGTGTTTTTGCTTTTCGGAAGATTTAGGACCCGCTTTAGCGCCGTCCTGATAAGGGCGCCAATCTTACTAAGTTCCTTCTTTGTCAGTTTTAGGAATGGTGCGGCGTAAATAAAGTGCTGAGGAGAAACGCATCGAAGGCTTTCATGAGATTATCCTCCTTCAGCCCCTCTCTCTTGCCGGCAACTCTGGAGATGACCCTACTGAGGCTGTGAGCGCTCTTCTCTTGACGTCTGAGTGCCTTGGTGTTCTTGTTAGGGTACTTTCCAATTGTCATGCCTAGAACTTCAACTGATTCACAGATGTGAAGCAGACTAATAGGCTGCCCATAAATCTGCAGCCCCTGCCTCGGAAAACGCTTGTTCAGGAGGAGTTCTGACTTATCAGGAGATAGCTTCATCCCCGTGCTCGTCAGAAAATCCTCCGTGACAGCGAGTGCTCGTTGTACATTGTCCGTCCAGCTTCCCGAGAGGGCCCTCCGCAGACCATATGGTGATGTCGTCTGCGTATATTACATGATCAATGCCCGGAACGTCGGTGAGCCGCTGGGACAGGTTGTGCATTGCAATGTTGAATAAAAGAGGGGACAACACTGATTCTTGTGGTGTATCAACGTTACCCAGTGTGTACTTTTTGTTCTTGATTGGGCCGATGCTGATTGTAACTTTCCGATCTGCCAAAAAAAAAAAACTTGACAAAGCTGTAAAAGTTTTCACCGAAGCTCAACTTGGAAACTTCATTAAGAATGTGCTCATGCTTCAGTGTGTCGAAGGCCTTTATCATATCGAGCGCCAACATCCCTTTGATGTCTAGAGACGTGTAATCGAGTATGGCCCTCTTGATGAGAAGCATAGCGTCTTGTGTTGACAGGGATTTCCGGAAGCCCACCATATTGAGGCGCAAGAGACCGTCGTCCTCAATGTGTCCGCTCATTCGATTATGAATTACATGTTCTGCCAATTTCCTAAGGCATGATGTAAGTGATATCGGGCGCAACATTTCTGGTCCCAGGGGCTTTCCCGGTTTGGGTATGAGTACGACCTTAGCCGTTCTCCACCCCTCGGGGACATTGTCATTAGACCATACTTGATTTATCTTTTCTGTAAATACATATATTGCTGCGTTGTCAAGGTTTCTAAGAAGCTTGTTTGAGATTCCGTCTGGGCCAGGCGCCGACCGTTCATTGAGGTCCCGCAAGGCATAAACGATCTCCGCAGCTTCAAAAGGCCTATCCAAGGATGAGTGTGGGGTTCCTTGATATTCAGATGTGGGGTTGTCCGACGGAATAGATTTGCCTTCGAGTGGTAAGTATATGTCTACCAATTTGTCAGCAAAGGTTTGTAGACCGCAGCCTTCCTGAGGTGTTCATGTAGACGAGTCTGTCAATTCCTAAACCGGGTGCTGCTTTTGGGTGATTTGGTGCTGTCAGTAAACAGATGC